AAGAATCGTCACTGACTCAAAGTGTCAAGAAACTAGCGAAACTTATGAAAGATAGGAATTTTTCCTGAATTATTTCATTGTTTTTCAGGGGGCTGTGAATTTTCAAAAAAATACCGCGAAACATGCATGTCAGGTGTGGGTTATGCAACTTGTACTAGGGAAAACGTAACAACACGAAGAATCCTTAATTTAGTCATCTACTTCAAGATTTTTTTTCCTATCGTATCATGAGAAACATACACTGAAAACAAAAATTGGTAGAATTTACCATTCCACCAACCGATTGCAGTGAACGCACGGGTCATAAGACGGGATGTTGGAATTTTTTAGCCAACGTGCGTAAAAATTTCAGCTTAAAGCGGCAATCTCATTATAGAGAGGGAAAAAGCTCACACACAAGCACAATTTTCCCTCAAAGAGATATGCTGTTTGGAGAAAAACTAGTTACGTCCATTCAGGAAGGCAACTGTTGACGCGTTTCAGCCTTGTTGGGCCAATCCTCAGTGTAGTGCAGGCTGCACTACAGTGCACGTGTAGTGCAGCCTCATGAATTTCCTGCTACCAAGCTCGAAAGGTCGTGAAAACCAGCCCGAGACTTGGGCAAGAGGACGCGGCGGCAAGTCCAGCATATCTCTTTGAGGAAAAATTGTGCTTGTGTGTGAGCTTTTTCCCTCTCTAATGAGATTTCAGCTCTAAGCTGAACTTTTTAGGCACGTTGGCTAAAAAACTCCAACATCCAATTTACCATTCCTTCACGCTGTACTTCATACAGCGTCAATTCAGAGTAAATTCTGCCACACGAAATGTAAACGTTACTATATACTGGCGCAGGTAAACATTCATCTGGTAGAATCGACTTTTGATTCACGCTGTGTGAAATACAGCGTGAAGGAATGGTAAAGTCTACCAATCTATTTTTTCAGTGTAGGAAAGCAAGTGAAGCAATGCCCCTGACACATTTTGGCAGCGTTTCAGGCATAATTTAGCGTGATCATTCAATATATTTTATTTGTCTCTGAAATTTTATGAAATATTTGACATGGAATTCCACGATTTACTTTTTCATGATATTGTGCCACCATATTCTTACCGTGTATACTACTCTGAGACACGCAAACTGACGATGGTATTTAAGCACTAGAAGTTTACATTCCTGCAACATATACAGAAATCACACTACCACCCACATGGTCCATGAACTTTTGAAGCAGGGACAAGAGACCCTCCACTCGTATCTCGGCTCTGGTGGAAGCTTTTACTTTCGGAACTTCAACACTCAACTGTTGACTTTCTTATATGGTTGATGTTTAACAACGTGTTGGCTGTTTCATTTTGCAAACAAGCCGAAGTTTGGGGAACTTGTTTGACTCATGACGTCACCCGAAGCTCATCAGCCACCATGTAGGTAGGTCAACAGCTGAAAAAAGAGTGAAGACTGTTGTTCCCTTACGATTATCTACAAGGAATTGTTGAATCTCCGAAAGTAAATGCTTCCACCTGTCGCCAAGAGCCCAGTGAAGGGTCTCTTCTTGTCTCTGTTTTGAAGTCATATGCATGCTGTGACTTGTATGAATATTACTTACCCACTTGCAAATAACACCGGTGGAGCGATCCAATCAGCAACTATCAATTAGTCCTAGGGACTGAAGACTCGGCAACTCGAAAAGTTGGAGATTTGAAAACTCACAAACCACGAATAGAATTGGATGCAATTCACATAGAAATAACCGCAACGTTTGATCGAAATCGAAGAAAAGGACACGTCCCGTTTTATTCTGAAAGTTCCGAGAATAGTTTTAAATCCGGTAGGTGGGATGGAAATGTAAAATATTGAAAGGACGGAAGTTTGATATCGTTAGTTCGAACGCGGCACAACTCGGCTGATCAAATGTAGGAGGCACTCAAATTTGCATCGGGACGCGTGCGAATGTTACTAATTTCATTTCATGAACCGAACTCTCATATCGGACTTACAGACTCATTACTATCGGCACCGGTTTCGACTGCACCAGTAAATCAATCAAACAGTTATTTATGTTGAATACTCATAGAGGCTGTAAATTGGTGGTTTTCAAGACTTGCGTAATTATTTCGAATGTGTTGGTCTAGACGTGAGTTTCAATGTAGCAACAACTTTACGTTGATTTAATGGTCAGTGGCGTAGCTAGGTATTATTTAGGGGGGTGGGGGTGCCCGTGACGGTAAATTTACATTATTTTTTTCGTCCCTGGTAATATTTTTTGTCTGACCTCCAAAAGTAATTCCAGAAGTTTTCAAGAATTGACGTCGAATAGTCTTTCATGTACAAAATGAAGCATGACAGGAAGTCTGCAACATCGCAAACCGAGATACGTGGTCTGGTAGTTTAATTGCCGAAATGCACTGCTTTGAACTTTTCACTGGACGAAAATTCCACAGAAATTGAAAATTTTTGGTACGATAAAGCTGCTCACGCCGCACAGTGGACCGAGTCAATTAGAGAGGTCGGACATGAAACTTTCTAATAAAACTGCAAATTTTTATGTTTATTTCGTAACATTTTAAATTTTAAGGGATGCCTCTAGAAGAAAATTTTACGAGAAAACCAATGGAACCTCTTTTAGAACCTCAAAATTTTGTATAAACGGAATGGGCCTGTTGCATGCAAGAGATACAGCCGTGCGAATAGCCTTTTCAGAGGTTAAATGACACGAAAATTACGATGGTCACATTAAAAAAGTCTGAAATACACTCCTTACTGCGCATTTTGCGTTGTGAGGAACGCGCTTTTTCAAATTTCCCGCGTCTGGGGGCAGTTTTCTAACGGAAACAATTAACGGCAACTCGCGGCTATTTCCGGTCAACTAAAACTGACAACATAACCTAAAAATCGGAGCTCGTGATATCGTGAAATAAAACGTAGAAGGATTGCGTTGGATATTTAAAAGTTGATCGATTTGGTTACCGCATAAAGCGTATATGGACCACTATAAGAGATCACGTTGGGTTTGTAAACAAACTGAAGGAAAAAATAACAACAACAACAACGACTCGGCATCTTCCGGAAATCACCAAGCCCGCCGTTTGCTCGTTTCCGGTGATTAGAAAACTGCCCCCAGACGCGGGAAATTTGAAAAAGCGCGTTCCTGACAACGCAAATTGCGCAGTAAGGAGTGTATTTCAGACTTTTTTAACGTGACCATCGTAATTTTCGTGTCATTTAACCCCTAAAAAGTCTATTCGCGCGGCTGTATCTCTTGCATGCAACAGGCCCATTATAAGCGTTTAAAGTTCCCAAATTTTGTCCGACCTCTCGTATTGACTCGATCCACTGTGCGCCGCAGCAGGGGAAAAGCAGGTCCATCCCTCTATTTCGGCGCCTGCATTTCACTCTTGGGGGTAGCCTTTTGTGATTATGTCACCGCAACACTCCAAAGCACGGCGCTCCGAGACGAAATTATGCTCGGCCATATTTCAGCGCGAGTCAGAGATGGACAAGTGAAAGTAAATTACGAGTAGTCACCATCCATTCGTTTTTAGGAATAAATTTACTACTTCAAACCTTGTGGCAGGGCAGGGCTTGGCTGTCATTAACGCGACTGTTCCGTACGCCCACTCCTCGCGCGCTGCCGGGCTAAGGAAGAACGCCGTATGAACATTCGAGGGTTGCCACATTTCCCTTGATAAAACATGTATTTTTGACAAAATTCATGCATATTTTTCCTTAAAGTTTTGCAGATATTTTGGATTAAACTGCGTACAAAATCGTACATCGTGAACATTTTGGAAAATAATATCCTCAATGGAGATATTGCATGTGTAAGGAATTTGCAATTTGACTGTTGATTCTTATGTTGAAGTTCGCGAGAAACACGATGGTGCCACTGGTTTTCTCTGAAATCAACTCCCAAGCTCAAATAAAGCTCTCAAAGTGAGACCAAAATGGGGGAATATCCCACCCTACCCTGAAAATCCACGTCTATACATCAAGACAAACTCTCCATGCAAAGATTTGGAGCAAATACATGAGCAGGGTTGCCGTATTTTCAGTTTTGGAGTCCCCAAATAACGTGGCAGCCCTGTCAATGTAATTGCTCCCTATCTTTGATTGGAGAGTTTGTCTTGATGTAGACGTGGACTCTCAGGGTAGGGTGGGATATCCCCTCCATTTTGGCCTCACTTTGAGAGCTTTTTTTGAGCTTGGGAGTTGATTTCAGAGAAGACTAGTGACACCATCGTGTTTCTCGCCAACTTTTACATAAGAATCAACAGTCAAATCGCAAATCCTTCACACATGCAACATCTCCATTTTCCCAGTAAATTCGATTTTATTCGAGGAAACTTGGCAACGTCTGAAGGCTCATACGGTGTTTTTACTTAGCACAGCAGCGCGGGTTAACTGCATTTTCCTCGTGCCATCTGCGTCGCGTGTTAAGTTCACACAACCCCCCTCCCTCGCCCCGCTTGTCTCATGTGATTCATGTTCCGGGATGTGACAACTTAAAAATAGAGGCTACTCTCCGCCTAGGGATTAGTACATGCGAGTACTTCCTCTCCAAAACAACATACATTTTGAATGTTCCGGGGCGTACAGTAGAGAAAACCCCGTCCGGGACATTTCGGATTGATGAAAATATTTTTTGAGTCGTCACCTCATTTCAACCCTCCACCCCTCCTCATTACGTAACGATTAAATTTACTTTTTTTTATATCCCCACCGCCTTCCCATAGTGCTCTGTAATACTTGCATGGCTATCCCAAAAAATTAGGTAAGCCTAAAAATGAAAAATTAGCATGAAAGTAACAAAACGATCGGGTCTGCTATCGAATCAGACAAAGCGGAGGTATTACTTACTAGCGACTTAGTCTATCTTAAGCGCTCATATGTTGAATGGGCTCACTTCCTAAGTCAGGTAGTAGGTAGTGTTTCAGACCTTTCAGATAGTTTTGTTGGTAATTCATTCTACTTTGTACTTATCATATCTCTGAATTATTATGTGCTCCTTTTTCTTGTGTTACAGATCTCTAACATGGGCGTATGATGGATGAGCCTAGGGCCATTTTGGTCCTATTTTTATGTTTTATCTTCCGTTCCACTGCAGAGGATTTCCTCCTAACTTCAACTAAGGTTTGTCAGTTTTATCACCTCTTTAGCTTAAGCGTTTTTATTTCAATAACCATTAACGAAAACTACCTTAAAAAATATTTAAAACTATTTCAGTTGCATTTTTTTCAATTTCTCTCCACAATCTATTTTCAGAGCCCGTAAAAATCCATCTTTTTTTAACGTCTTCGTCTTTCTTTGGGTTATTTCATAGCTGAGGATAGGAGTGATCCTCTGTGTGTTGATATTTTCTACTAGGGTGCTTAAAGGTGCAGAAACAATTATCAAATTATAATAAAAATTTAAATTTGTAATGTCAGGTTCAATCTCTCCCATTGATAAGCTTCAACCCTCAAATTGAACGTATTTCTGTCCAACGAAACCAGAGGCAGGTGGGAGAGAAGGAGTGTGCTCTTGAGTTGAGGGCCGTAAGAATGAATTGGAATTATAAAGCGCCAGTGACGTCAGCGGCGACGACTCAGACGAGCGACGACGAGGAGATCGGTGGTGCGGTATTATAACTCATGAGCCCTGTCCACAACGCCCCTCTCACATGCCCATGGCTCACGAGTGCCGCAGACAGAAGGCACTTAGTTCCGTTTGGTAGAATATAAAATCCCGCTTATCCATTTCCCCAAAGGGAATCACGTCCTTTTTTACGAGTACAGTGATTCTTATCCAGATTTCTAGAGTACACCTCATCTTTCCCCACTAGTCTTTAGTTCTGATTAGCAGAAATACGTTCAATTCAAGTACCTTAAGATTAGGTAATAGGTCCAAATGTCCAAAGATAAATGTAAACAAATTTCAAAGAAGTCAAGAACAAATCAGGGTATAATCAATTCATGACAGAATCCTGAGGCGCGTCCAGCTTTATCAAGAATTTAAAGATGAAGACATTATTCCACGATAATCTTGGGGAACAACCCATTATGTCAGAGTTAGCAACGAGCTGCAAGACGAATGTGATGAGGAAGTATGAAGAATTTCTACCAACAGCTAAATGGTAATATCAATTATGAATCATAGTAACCGGACATTTTGGCATTTTTATTGAAACGCGTGTAACAGATTTGCCGCCGCGGCGGCATTCCGCGTCTTAATTGCCGTACCTTAAATTTTGGCGATGGCACCGCTACTGAACATTGCAGGTACTGTGACATATTTTACACATGGAATTTTGCTTATATTAGACATTTTTTAACTCTAGACATTTATTTTTGGACATTTTGACCTATCCCCTGAGATTGAATTGTGCGGGGATATTAGATTGATTTTCGTTTGCATGGTAAGAGTATGGCGATGGGCCTTCAAGTTATGCGGATTAGGAATGATTATAATGTGTATGCTTTGACAGGATGATGTGGAGGCCTCGTTACGCGCCATCAGGGACGTGAACGTCGGCTCGAAATGCGAATCGGACGAGCACGTCATCCTCTCGGCGCCCATCAGCACGCACCCTTACGACACGGCCCGAAAAAAGGCTGACCTCTTCAGCCTCATCCTCAAGAAAGGCCAATTCTCTCACCCAAGTAAGCCTGTCCTGTTCCAAATGACACTCGAAAGCTCTTTTACATGCTGTAAGGATTTCCTGTTTAATCGCAAGGATTTGATGGAACGACTTCTCTTACGAGATGTTCATCCGTGCCGTAGTATCGTTTATAAAGCGGGAAATTTAAAAAAAAAAAAAAAAAAACCCATATACTTTACAATCGACAGAGCACAGGGGAGACTTTCATGAGCCGACCCTGCGCCGTCAGCGGCGCGCAATCGCGCATGGCCCACGACCTGCCTTACATTATTACACTTAGTTTACTGATTACTTCACAAGAGCACACAACCAGTGGGTAATATTAATAGTCAACAATAAAAAAAATTCAATAAAAAGAAAAAACATAAAAAAACTACACGATGCACGAGCTTCTTTGCCAGAGATCGCTCGCCACCCGCCCGTCGAGGGCGCCGAGCTGCGGCGTGCTACCAGCGCGAAACTTGCACTGACGCCTACGAACCTAAAGGGCTACCACACGCATTGCGCAATGCTTGAAGTATCCCCTTAGGTTCGTAGACGTCAGTGCGCGTTTCGAGCTGGTAGCGGTAACGCGCCATAAACTTGCACACAGTTAATAGGTCAGGATGTCAGAGTGTAGCCAATTTTACATCACATTCGGAATTAGCTACTAAAAAAACATCACACACGAAACTTACGTGATCTTTCAATTACTATCCGACTTATTTCTTCCTATTTTTGAGTTTTGGACCATAGTGGACCGCGAGCGGCGGCGCTCATGAGATTTTCCCATGTGCTCAATCGGCAGATTGTGAAGTTAAGAGTGTGTTTCGGACTTTCTCGATGCCTGCATCGTGGTTTTTTAGCCACTTTCATGCTACAACTCCTCTTTTGGCTCTAGCTAAAGGTTGCAACAGGCCCATTCTGCTGCGCTAAGGAAAAACGCCGTATGAACATTCGAGAGTTGCCAAATTTCCTCGGATAAATCATGTATTTGTGAGGACAGTTCTGCATAATTTTCCTCGAAATTTTCAGATATTATAAATTAAATCGCGAACAAAATTTTTTGAAAATATTGTATGAAAATATTCACGATTTTCTCTTAAATTTGACTATTATTGAAGGAAATATGGCAACATCTGAAGGCTCATACGGCGTCCTTCCTTAGCACGGCAGCATTGCATGCACCTAGAAAACTGGAGGGATGGAGGGTGGGACGTGGGCTTCGGAGTGAGGGAGGGGGGTAGCGGACTCTTTATAGGCTTTAGGCGTTAGGCGTTAGGCGTTAGGAGGCGTTATGCGTTACTCCTATGATTCAATATTATAGTTTTCTCTGACGACATTCGAATATTAATCGGAGATTTTTAATCGTTGAAATTAAGAGGGCCATTTTTTTAATTTAGTCATCTATCTATAGCTATACAGGCAATGTGCATACTTTTAATGTTGGTGTCTCGATCAATTTAATATGCGTCGCTTGAATGCGCGAAGTCTTCGCAGATAGTTCCACGCGAATGACTTTTTTTTAAATCTCTCTAAAGTCAGGACGAGTGATTTAAATCACCAAGATTAATCACAAAAAAAGAAGTAAAAAATAAGCGGCAAAATAGAGGGAAAATGGAAGAGCCTCGAACAGATACATTCCTTTCATTTGAAGTTCCAGGATTAAAATTTCATCCCCTCCTTTGCCGCTTTGTTTTGAATATCTGAGATTTAAAAATCTACAAAAAGTACACCTAAATATATTATGAATTTTTCTTTCCATTGAGTCTGTGTATTCTCAAGAGGTATGAAATTAAATTCACTCGCAGGGGAAGATCTTCAAAGCCGTTTTTCGCCCTTTCAGCTCTCAACGATGAAAGTGATCGATTAAACTAGCAAAGCACGAGGGACGAAACAGAGCCTCCCTGGTTGCAAAATGCGACTGCGGTGTATACAGGATGTATATACAATTATTTCATTTCTGATCAATATTTTTCTCTATTGGACTGAAGCCCCCTCTTTTTCTCCTCAAAGAATAACTAAAAAGTAGTTCCGAGTGTATCAGTGACAAGCTATAGACATTATTCTGTTCGGATAGTGTTTTTTCGATTCTAAAAAATGTAATCATCGCGATTGCAGTCATACCTCTTTGAGCTGAGGAATGATATACCAATGTATGCTGCGGTTGTTTGAAAAAAAGTTAAATAATCAAATATTTTTTCTGTTTGAGAATATGGGGAATGGCATACTTTTTGAAACAGATTGGTAGATTGTGCCGTTGAAAAATTTGAGAAACTAGCGGTTGGGCGGCCTAACGGCTGTGTAAAAACATATATCTCCTATTAAAAAGAGGGAGAGAAAATGTGAGATAGACAAAAAATCTTACCATAAATTAATAGCATCAATCTTCCAATGTCACTTCGCAAGATTTTATGCCTTTTATAGAGGGTGGGGGGCGGGGCATGTTCGAGTATTACATCCCACAAAATTGTATTTTTATGGAATACTTCCAGTTACAAGTAGTTACTATTCTGAAAATATACCCAAAAGTTCACAAAAATAATCGTCCATACCACAGACATTAGCCATTGCGACTAGTGACCTCTCGGTAAATCAAGAGGTTGAAAATTGAACATGTACGACGAGAGATATCTTCGAGAAAAAAGTAAGCTTTTTCCGAACTCAGGAAGACAGTTCTCAAACTTTAATCTAATGTTTGAGATTCTCAAGCAAAGTTTCCTCATGAAATATCTCTTTCTGTCTTGATTCTGAATTGAAATAGTAGCGTAACATACTGAGAACGAGGATTCTGAGTCTGACAAACCCGGTTGATGTAAGTTCGGAGTCTCTGCAGAGCGCCTTCATTTAAGCATGCCTGCAACTTATCCAACATTAAAAGATCATATCGTTGCGTTGCGTTTCGCTCGTCAATATATCTGAAGGCGTTTCTGCGCGTGAAAATACTCAATGCATGCCGTATTTTGCACAGAGAAGAAAATTCACGGAATTTTTGAGGAATCGACTTTGAGTAGCTTTCCCCTTGAAGAATAAAATGTAACTGGAAGTCTGCAATGTCACTAAGATACGTGGTTTGCGAGTAACATCGTTAAAATGCTGAAATACATGTGTTTCATGATGAATTTGCAGGTTTATAATATTTTTTAAATCTCATGTTCAAAATTAAACTACTATAAGAGATTTGAGTACGAGGATCCTTGGTTTCTAAATTGAACAATTATTGGAGGAAATATGATAAAATAACCTAATCTGCTAAAATACGCGTGTTTAAATGGGAAATATCGCCATTCCATTGGAATGGAACTGAGTTCTATCAATATCGATGGAAGTCAAAGTCTGTGGTCGGGCTGCAGATGACGTCACAAGGGGGCAAATTTTCTCAAACTTAAATCCATTTTAACACATGTTTACCATTTGAGGAGAAAATTATGGAAAACATTCGACCTCAGCTCATAAAGCATTCTCAGATAAAGCAATAAAATTTGTTTTTGCAAATTTTCCATTGAGAAATGCCACCTAATGACGTCACAAAGCTATACGGTATACTCTCTCATTTTTTAATCCATTTTTCTACATTTTCTCAAACCAGAAAAAATTATGAACATAATAATGCGGACTCGACTCAGTATTGTCAGATGAAGCAATACTTTTTTTCGTGCAAATTCTCAATTTATCATATCTTATCAATTTCTTTTAATTCTGTATTATTGCATCTATTAGATATGACTTGACAAGATTTAGCCTAGATGTATGAAATTACAAAATTTCATTACTTTAATCGAACGTACCAATGCATTTCGGCGAACGCCGTCATCAAATAAATTAAATTAATAAAATTTTCTAATTTCATTCATCTAGGCTAATCTTGTCAAGCCATCTCTCGTCACATTATAACCCGTTATTAAGGACCCAGGCCTTACGAGACACCCTGTAGACCCCGATACTAAATTTCCCCGAGTTTCCTCCGTTAGAAGCTGCCAATACCGCCTCGCATGAACAATGCCCCATCCTCCCGAGTCCCGACTAAACGGGCGTGAAAAGGGACGGAGCATACACGGGCGCAGGTACAGAGGGGGAAGGGGGGCACATTGTTGCGCTAACTATTCGAGTTTCGTGGGGTTGCGGTCGGGGGGTGAGGGGTATCGGGTGGCGAAGTGGG